CCTCTTGTCCTGGATGTACACTCTCTCAGACTGCTGCCTGCCTATCTCTTGATGTTTTCCTTCTACTTGTATTGTTGCCCACCTCGTCCTCTCCTGCCTTTGACTTTTCCCTCCAGTATGGTTTTAAAAGTGTGTTATGTCTTTTAATGTGGCCAAAGTATTTCAACTGTCTTTTTTTTGTGTTGGTAATTCTCTTTTTATTTGTAGCCTTTCAATAACCTCTGTATTGGAACCTCTGTATTGGGCTGTTTTTGTTTCAATGAAATAAGACATATTCTTCTGTACACCATAGACAGTTTCTAAGACCGTTTAACAGAAAAAAATGAAGGAGATATTATGGCAAGAGAAGTATGATAAGGCTGTGATACCAGCAGGGATGTCTGGCTTGTTACAACCACTAGACATTTCCATTAATAGGTCTTTTAAGGCTCAATTGCAGTGTTTCTATCATGACTGAGATGCAGTTTGATGGAAGCAACTCTGACCGAACATTTGAATAAAGCCTCATTATCACAATTGTGACTGGATCATGGCTGCATGGAAACTCATAAAAGATGAAATGGTCACCAAGAAGTCACCTGCATTCAAAACTCGATAGATGGCACTGAAGACGACACAATATGGCAAGTGTCGTCTGAGAGTAAAGACTATAGTGGCGTGATCAGGAAGTGTCAACAAACGAGTCAGACTAGATGTTACTAGTGGAAAATGAGGTCAATTACCGGTACTGTTTTTATAAGGTACGTTTCAAAATGTGGTACTGTTTATTAATAAATATTGTAAAATTGACATTTAGGTCTAATATCACAAAGATAAGTTGCAACTTATTTTTCATCTAATTTTTTTTTTTTCACTCTCAAACTATTTACTAATTATTCCCTTTATACGCCTTTTTATATATATCACAAAATAAACTTTCTAAAAATGTAGATAAATAATTTACTACTTACCTGTGTAAAATAGGGTTTTTTAAAGGATTTTTGTTTTTAAAATATTTCCATGGGTTCATGACCCATTTTTATTAGCATTTATGTTGCGAAAGAGTTAACTCATTTAGCACCAATCAACTTTGTTTATTATTATACTCCTGTCCCAATGTGGGACACAACAATAGTCCCCCCTCACCTTCCAGGTGTAGTCAGAGGCCCTAATATAACCTAACAGCTGAACAGGGGTTCTGGGAATGTGCCTCGGTAATCCTCATCTGAATAGTGGCACTTTGTGTCACCGGGTGTTTATCGCTCGTTGTATGGTCCTAGAAGAGTTGATCTCCACATACAGGCACACACACACAGCCCAATCAACTTACTGTATGTTTATTAGGGCCTCCTTAGGTGATATGCTTTTATCAACTTCTTGTTCTTGCTGTAACATTAACTTATTCTATCTCAACTGAAACGTATACTTAATTATTTTGTCTCATTATATTATCTGAACCATTTCAGTACCAGACCATTTATATGCTAGGCAAAAAATTTTAAAGATCTTCTTCTGAATTTTAGCATTCACCGGTTTTAACCACTGCCTGTAATTATAATTTTGTTTGTGGTGTAGGTAGGGGGTGGGTGGAGAAGGGTCAGATCAGCCTGAAGATTAAGGGCCGCATGGCTAGTGCTGTCGCCACAGACTGTGAAGATTAGGATTTGTGTGTGCCCTTAACAGAATAAATCCATAACCTTACGGAGGATTCAAACGTGGGTCTCCTGCATTAGAGCCTGTGTTCTTAACCATTCAACCAGCCCTTCCTCATTTCATAATACGCTGTTAACAATTCTTTGCTTTTCTTTAGGGGTCTAGTAACAAATGGACATACCTCTGTTTCTAATTCACTTGATCTCCTCAGTTCTAACATTTTCCAGATCCTCTTTTCTCACAGGGTGAGAATCTACAAGTAATACTGGTTGAAGATATGCTGATGAAGGAGGAATGGATTCACATATAAAGATAAATTAGGTCAGTTTAACTCTTGCTGGAGAATGTAGGACGTTGTCCACAGGCAAAGGAGCTGGAAAAAGTGGTGGCTGACGAGAGATATCACTTGGGAATATGATGTAGTAATATATAACAATGGATTCCCCGTGTGGGAATTTTCGATTAGTGGTTAGTGTACTAAATTTCACCAAATATATCGAGAACTCTAACTCTTCCTTTCCCAGCAGGATGAATGAAAGAGAAACACTGGTAGAAAGATCATCAAAAATTAATTGTACGTACAACAGCCGGTGATGGCACATGAATGCTCCCAACAGATCGCGGCCGAACTTGGTTTGCCAGGTGACACAGCACAACTCCATCTCTCAGTGCCTCAGAAAGGTTGTCAGGCAAAGTCACACGAAGTCTGGACTCTATTGTCTGTCACCAAAGGAGGAGAAATTAAACGTATAAAGATATACAGAAAAAACCCCATTTAAAATGAATAAATACAACAATCTGATTACTAGGGAGATAACATCTTAATTCAACACTTGCTTTATAGTGTTCAAACTGTGATGACACAATGATTATTAGTATATTAATGTGACCACACAGTAGCAGTGGTCCAAATTCTAGGTGAGAAAATCCGTTTGATTATGGGGTAAATTCAATTGTCATATAAAATGGCTAAAGATATTTCTGTGGCAAGAAGACAGAATACAGTTTAAACACTTTTTTTGCAATGTATAAAAGTTAGTTTGCCTGTCCCTTTACAGGATGTTGCAGAATCAACCCCAGCATTTTTTGCTGTTGGGGTTTTTCTAGGCAAATTTGACCTTCAGTAGTTTGCCATTGCTTTCTGAACAGTAAGCTCTTGGTACCACTGTCAAAACTAGCGTAAGACGTTCTGCTGCCAAGTCGCCTTCAGCTGGGATCGAATCCGACACCCCGGCATTGCAAAACACACTCATAACACCTAAGCCACAGATGCTGACGTATAAAGAAGCTGGATAAAACACATCTCAACATGTTTATATAAAGTAAAAAGTAAAAGACTCTTTTCTTTGCCGTCAGGGGTGTGGGTATATATTGTGCTAGTCCCATATTTTTTATAGATGTTTTTCTAAAACTGCACGAAAGTACACGAGATAGAAGGTTGTGGATAGACATGAATACCTATGCCACACAGCATGGACTTTAAGAAGATGTTTCCAAACAGTGATACTTGCCATCTAGTATAAGCGTGAAAAACTGGAGACTGGCTGAGCATTATACATCCTTCAACAATTTAAATTTGTAAAAAGAAGGCTATTTAGCTGGCGTCTGTTTTACATCAGGAAATCTATCCACTGCAACATTTATTTTTTAAATTAAATGTGACTTTTGTTCACACAGGCTGAGATTCTGGCCTATGTTAAATAGTTTATTTACTGTACTAAGAACCTTCTTATCTGATATGTGGGAGGCAGCTGAAATCGTTTATGTACCTCAGTGACAGCCCTTGAATACCATACCAAAGACATAAAAGTTGATAAGAGTTGTAGGTATTATCTTATAATTAGTTACCATCGGAATTTTAACACTTCGCTTGCTGCTGAAGATGGGGACGGAGCGCTTATGGGGGTGTCCCAGGTGCCGTGATGTCCATTCTTAATTAAACATTCATTTATAATCAAGGAATGCTGAATTTTGATTGGCTAATTATGAGAGTTATGTGACTGGATAATCACATGCATTTGTTGGGGGTTTTGTGACTGAATGATCACATGAATTTTCTGACAGGCGAACTGCATGAGTTATGTGACTGGATGATCACATGAATTTTCCGACAGGCTAACTGCATGAGTTTGGTGATTGGATGATCACATGAATCTTCAGACTGGTTAGCTGCATAAATTATGTGACTGGGTGATCACATGAATCTTCAGACTGGTTAGCTGCATAAATTATTTGACTAGATGATCACATAAATTTTTACTCTGGCTAACTGCAAGAGTTATGTGACAGGATGATCACACTAATTTTTTGACTGGCTAACTGAATATGTGTCTGGATGATCACACAAATTTTCTGACTGACTAACTGCATGAGTTATGTGACTGGATGATCACACACATTTTCTGACTGACTAACTGAATATGTGACTGGATGATCACACACATTTTCTGACTGGCTAACTGCATGAGTTATGTTACTAGATGATCACACAAATTTTCTGACTGGCTAACCGCATGAGTTTTGTGACTGGATGATCACACACATTTTCTGACTGGCTAACTTAATATGTGACTGGAGGATCACACATATTTTCTGACTGGCTAATTGCATGAGTGATGTTACTGGATGATCACACTAATTTTCTGACTGGCTAACTGCATGAGTTATGTTACTGGATGATCACACACATTTTCTGACTGGCTAACTGCATGAGTTATGTGACTGGATGATTACACAAATTTTCTGACTGACTAACTGAATATGTGACTGGATGATTACACAAATTTTCTGACTGGCTAACTGCATGAGTTATGTGACTGGATGATCACACACATTTTCTGACTGATTAACTGAATATGTGACTGGATGATCACACAAATTTTCTGACTGGCTAACTGCATGAGTTATGTTACTAGATGATCACACAAATTTTCTGACTGGCTAACTTAATATGTGACTGGATGATCACACACATTTTCTGACTGGCTAACTGCATATGTGACTGGATGATCACATGAATTTTCTGACTGGCTAACTAAAAATGTGACTGGATGATCACACAAATTTTCTGACTGGCTAACTGAATATGTGACTGGGTGATCACATATATTTTCTGACTGGCTAACTGCATGAGTTATGTGACTGGATGATCACACAAATCTTCTGACTGGCTAAATCAATATGTTACTGGATGATCACACAAATCTTCTGACTGGCTAACTGCATGAGTTATGTGACTGGATGATCACACATATTTTCTGACTGGCTAACTGCATATGTGACTGGATGATCACACAAATTTTCTGACTGACTAACTGAATATGTGACTGGATGATCACACACATTTTCTGACTGGCTAACTGCATGAGTTATGTGACTGGATGATCACATGAATTTTCTGACTGGCTAACTGCATATGAGACTGGATGATCACACACATTTTCTGACTGGCTAACTGCATATGTGACTGGATGATCACACAAATTTTCTGACAGGCTAACTGCATATGTGACTGGATGATCACACAAATTTTCTGACTGGCTAACTGCATGAGTTATGTGACTGGATGATCACACAAATTTTCTGACTGGCTAAATCAATATGTGACTGGATGATCACACAAATTTTCTGACTGACTAACTGCATGAGTTATGTGACTGGATGATCAAATATATTTTCTGACAGGCTAACTGCATGAGTTATGTGACTGGATGATCACACACACATTTTTTGACCTGTTTTTTGGGACTAGATAATCATATACATTTTCTGACAATCTAATAATAATGTGAACAGTTTGACTGGTTAATAATGTCAAGTGCCAGACTGGTTAATCAATGCAATTGAACTGACCTGACGCAACCGATCTATCTGTTCTGCTTCCTCTCTTTGCTGTTCTTCCCTCCTGCGCAATGTGAAATTTAAGCTGGAATCTTCTGATGCTTTAGGACCGCCTGAAAAGCCAAAAATATTTCAATCTTGGCTCTACTTGCATGATTTGATACAAGATACACGAGAAAAGTCTTGTTTTGTATGCAATAAAAGTATGTAAAGGACATTCCTGGAAACAGTTTGGGTATATGGTGTATATAAACTACTGACAGCTGAGTCAACATCCTAGCGTTCTGTGGCATACCCAAAGCAAATAATTAAGGTGTAAATAAAACTAATATATGAACTAATCAATACTTAATAGGTGATTAGTTTGATTGATAATGCTGTCAACACGACAACAGCCACTTGTATTTCCTAGGACCAATTTTAGATTGAGTAAAACTAGTAACATGGGTGAATAGAAAAAAAATTAAAAAATATTTCCTATTTAAATAGGAATTCAAACACATTGTTACCATACCAGCAGGCAATGATGCCGCCCCTGTACAATCATAGGTACAAAATGAGGCTATGAGACTCATACTCGGCTGTACAATAGACACATTGTCATCATGCGGTATGTCCTGGGTTTACTGGTGATAGCCACCAGGTATAATGTGTCACAGCTCAAGGAGTACACAACGGTATCAGCAGACATAACTGACCATAACGCTATCAATGATACAAAAGAAGCTGATCCAGCAGGTATGCAACCTAGACAAGATCAATCCCAGAAAATGAATGGATCGATACACCAGGTAAACACTGGGGAGGTACTGCAGGAACCAGACATCTGCGACAGCGGACACCAAGATAAGGGCACTGACTGATCAGCATTCATGCCCAGAAGACATCATTATTTCACACATTTGGGTCCTTGAAGCAAAAGTCAAGGTCAACATGGGTATACACAGCACAAAAGGGGGTGAGGGGAGATAACGGCACATACATGACAACTACATTTAGTATGCTTATGGACATAACCGTTGCTTCCATAGCACTCATACGATCAGTAAAATAAGTGGCCACACAGGTAGTAATTGTAGCAGACTACATGAACATACTTCAGAAAATCGCAACAGGTGTATAAATGGGTATTAATGGGTATTACTGAGTATAAAGCATTCAGAAGTCACAATTCACCTCCATCACCATTATGGCATGAAAGAGTAATAAGGTAATGAACGACCTTTATTAAAATATTTAAAAAAAATCTATGGATAGAATGAACAGAATATTGTTGTTTAAACTACTACTACTATTAATTAACGAGAAGACCAGCTGGCAAGTGCTGCACTAATGCATACAGGAAGAAGCATGGACACAGTGTTATAATCACACAGTATGGACTAGGCTGGCGAACAATGATGAATCTCTGACATCAAGTGTAAACAGGGTCCTAAACTTTGTTTTTTTTTTTTTCTAAAATAACACAATAATTTTATTTCAAAATGGGAATATCACCCCCTTCTCTTGAGTGGGTTCCAGAGCCCCATTTTGTGGAGAAAAGACCCACTGCTTCCCTAACAAAAAACCAAAGAAACTGTTAGTTGAGTGTCCTTCACAGGACGTTGCACAACATTTTTTTTTTTGGCTGTTTGTAATTTAGCTCTGCAATTTTACTCTTAGCAGTTGCCACTGCCATCTGAGTAGTCGGCTCTCGATAGGACTGTTGAAACCAAATTAAAGGAGAACACTCTGCTGCCAAACCTGGCTGAATGGACAGGCCTCAAACATGGCTATATGACCAACAGAGGCAGAGGGATCAGATCAGATAGTTAGCAACAACTAGTGACCAAATGACAGTGTTATTCGTTTTCCTCTTTTCTGCATTCATTGGCTGCTAACTCCGGCAGAAGATTCTGGGTGTTCATTCACCTCTGGGAGGCAGTGGGTCTATTCTTGTTTTTTCACAATGGGGCCCCAGAACCCACAAGGGGATTTTGGGACCATGATGATGAGGAAAATTATTCCAAAGCTCAGCATCACTACCAGCTTGAATTCTGGATGCCTCCTAGAGCTATCTTCTTCTTCTGCCTTTCTATCCCCCAATGGAGCATAGGCCCTCAACCAACTCACGCCAAGTCGTTCTATCCTTCGCCATTACATGGAGCTCTCCCCATGTCCTCCCAATCTTTCTAACCTCATTCTCCAGCTCTCTTCTCCATGTGTTTTTTGGCCTTCCTTTATTCCTATGCCCCTGTGGGTTCCAATGCAAAGACATTCTAGTTATGCTGTTCTCCTGTTTTCTCAGTGTGTGCCCTATCCAACGCCAGCGTCTTTTCCTCACCTCCTGATCCACTGGAGCCTGTTTAGTTCTCTCCCAAAGTTCTACATTAGTTATTCTATCATACCATTTTATTCCCTCTATTCTGTGCAGGCACCAGTTAATGAATGTCTGTAATTTATTAGTAATTGCCTTCGTTGTTCTCCATGTTTCCACCCCATACAATAGTACTGATTTGACATTAGAATTAAAAATTTTTAGTTTAGTATTTCTTTTAATTTCTTTTGACCTCCACAAATTCCCTAGTGCTATGAAAGCCCCTCTTGCCTTTAGTATTCTTATTTTAATATCTCTATCAGTTCCTCCATCTTTATCTATATTACTGCCCAAATAGGTGTACGACTCAACGTCTTGGAGTGGGGTGCCATTAAGAGAAACCACATTACTATTTGCCTGATTTATTCTCATTATCTTTGTCTTTCCTTTATGGATTTTCAGACCAAGCTGCTGTGATCTCGCATTAAGTATATTTAATTTATCTTGTATCTGATTCCGTGAATGGGACAGAAGGGCAATATCATCAGCGAAGTCCAGATCATCAAGCTGTTTTGTAGGGGTCCACTGAGTTCCATTCTTGGTGTTAGCAGTTACTGTTTTCATAGTCCAGTCTAAAGCCAGTAAAAATAGGAGAGGCGACAAAAGACATCCCTGTCGCACACCTGTTTTTATTTCAAATGCATCTGTTAGCTTTCCCTCATGAAGAACTCGACATTTCATGTCTTTATATGTTGCCTTTACTAAGTTGATAATTTTCTGTGGGATTCCATAGAGCCCCATCAATTTCCAGAGAGATTCCCTATCAATGCTGTCAAATGCTTTTTCATAGTCTATGAATCCAATGTAAAGTGGTGAGTTCAGTTCAATGCTTTGCTCTAATATAATACGTAATGTGGCTATCTGATCAGTACAGGATCTGTTTGACCGAAAACCTGCCTGCTCATCTCTTAGCATTTTATCAATAGCATCTTTTAATCTTTCTAAAATAATTCTACTTAATATTTTTTTCCAGGAACTGACAGCAACATAATTCCTCTATAGTTTTCACACTCCTGTAGATCACCTTTTTTGGGCACCTAGAGCTATCACTATTTAAAATTACACACACAAAGAATGCATGGACACTGCATGCTTATGTTAAACTAAACAATTTTACTTATGTTAAATTAAACAATTTTAATGTAATTTTAAATTCTTATTATATGGTAGTACTTGGCCGTCCTCTCCCAGAGCCATAGATGTTTGTTGGGGGTCTCGTGCTTATTCTCTTATTGGGGTCAACACTTTCTTGTGAGCCCGGTTTCTGAAATTGTAGAGGAAATATAAGTCAATGAAGGAAGCAAGTTTCATGATAATTTTAATCATATTGTTTTCATATCTGATAACAATAACAGGCCATATACTGGTTAAGACCTCTTAACACTCTTGTGTGGTGAAGTCCAAACAGATCCTGGACTGATTAATTTTAAGAGAATTGTCATGCATTTTCTGAAAATATGAAGCCCAACTACCAGTACTGCACACCCTTTGGGTTCCTTCACTAGAAGGAAGGACCATCTGCTCTGCAATACAGTCACTATGGAGACAGTACTGTGATAACAAACAGAGAATAAAATCTCTAAACCAGGTTAATCCTGACAGATGTGAGCCTTTCCGGGATGCAAATGACTTGAACAAGAAAAAGTGGTAAACTCAACAGTTAGAATTCAAGTCTTTAGGTCTATCACAAACCTTCTAACCAATCACATCACCTAAAAAAAAGTAAAGAATCTCCACCCATCCACCCAAGACCAAATGACTGACCAAAAACACACCCACAGGAATGCAAGCACACACAAGCTGCTTATAAAATACAGGTCAAGATATTTATCCTCTGCAATATTGTTAATTTTTTTCTCTGAAGTTTGACTCAACGATGTTCAGGTCATCTGAGCCTAAAAAACTCTTATACTTTTCTGAGTGAGGCTGATGAAGAGGTACTTTTCATGACCCAGTACCAAAGTATTTCATGCTGGGATTTGAAGAACTATTCCTTTCCACTCTACAGTAGCTGTCACAGAGACACTTGCATGGCTGGCGGAATAGAAAGCAGCTCATGCGCTGATAAGCAAAGATCGGCCAGTCACAACAGGCATTATATACACTGATAATGATAAGCCAATGACAACAGACAAAGATAAGAACGAGTAACTCCATGCTCAGAAACATGTGAGGCACATCAGGCTTGTACTGGAACTTCACACTAGTAGAGAGACATACAGAGATGAAACTAGTCCATTGCTTAGATCAGACTGCTGGCTGTAGGTAACCCCAGTCTTGCTGATTTTCTTTCACAGGTTTCAGGTGAATTTGTGTTAACAGAATCCAACCCAAACCCAG